ATAAACAGGATCTCTTTTGTCGATCGCGATATTAAAATATCTTATAATTGTATCAATATCTTCAATACTTTTTAAATCTTTTTCAAGATAGTTTCTTTTTATATAGTCAATCAATTTATGAAATTGTGGATCTCGTCCATATGTTTCCAATTTTGTCCAATATTGATGTGCTTGAAAATCTGCCTTGTCTGTCTGTAAAATCCATTCGATGGATTCACTAATAAAACGAGTTTTATTCATACGACGACGGATCATCTGCTTTATTCTATCAGTTTTAGCTTCATCCAATGGAGTACAATTATATTTATTCACTGTTGTATAACAAGCATCTTTTTGTAGTAATAGTTGAACTATTTCTTCATGTCCTCGATATGCAGCGACATGGAGTGCAGTAGATCCATTCGGTTCTAATTTATTAATTTCTTCTAATGACATTTCTTGCAAATATTTTTTAACCAAATCAATATTATTATTTCGACATGCATTATAGAAAGGACTAGTATCTAAAGCAATAAATGATAAGCTTCTTAAAAAGTAGAGATTTTATAGACCTCAAATATATTTTCCAAGAAAAAGTGAAGCGTAAGATTTAAACACTCTTTTAGTGATCCGGTTTCTATACAATAGACTTTCCACTGAATTTTTCAGCAAAACTCGGTAGTTTGTGACTCAGGTCCCATTGAAAGGTGACCTTTGATATTGGACTTGAAACTTTGTGCAGCTGATACTCTCAATGAAACTAATTCACTCTGAAAGTTTCAACTTGTTCTGTTGCTTCTGTTTTCAGATACTCATATTGGATATTCAGCTAGGTGAAAAAGTAAATCATGTCCTTGTGGTTGTATTTTATAACAGAAGCAATGAAAGAAGCTGAAAGTTTCAGAAAGAACTATTTTCATTGGGAGTATTAGTTGTGAAAAGTTTCAAGTCAAAACCCAAAAGTCAACTTCCAACGAGAGCTGAGGAAGACTACAGATTTATGCTGAAAAATTAAGTAAAAACTGAATATCAGAAGAACAGAAACAGTTTCTGCGTCTCGAGAGATTTTCTCGCTTGTTACCAAATTTTATTCTATGAGAACTGCAAAGTTAGAAAGTATCTATAGTTATGTTTAGAACCAAAAAAAACGATGTAAATATTCAAAAATTCTTGTATTTGAGCTTATACTATCTAATGGAAAAGTAATCGGATTAAAAGATACGTGTTTATCAAAAAAAGTTACTCCAAATGGGTCTAGATTGAAGATTATATTTGAGACGTCGTATCTCAATAAAGACTTGAGTGCGCATCTATTTCAGATGGATAATGACATACTTCAGCAAGAAAATTACAATTCAAATAAAAATCTCGGTAAAATTCAGGATAAGAATTGAATTATTCCTTGTTCGTGATTTTTCAATAAATTATCAGTGGATCTTTCGTGCTGTTGCAGAAGAACAAACCTCAGGAGCTCTAAAAAAAGTCTGTAATACATGGTAAACATGTAACGTTCAATAACTGTATGGCATCTAATGCACATAACTGGTCTTCAATTTGAAATACGTTTTACGTGCAAGGTTCTATCATTGATATTTATCTGTTTTCCCTACTCTGTGGTAGCTGCTAAAAATGGCTAGCTCCTTGCAATCAGAATCCAATGTGTAGTTAAACACCGAACCAAAACAGCTTTAATATCAGCTACAGGTTTGAAGCAGATCTCAGAAATCGATCTTGTTGCCTAGCTGTCCGCTGAGCTTTTTCCCTGGTCACATTAGCAACCATGATCAAAGGTCTATGTATAATAATCCTTCCATACAAGTCGAAGACAATGGGCATCAAACTCTTTTTCTACTGTTCCTTGTCAACATAAAAAGACGTTAAACGGGATTAATTATTATACTTAGACTGCTGAGTCTATGAGAACTTTATTGTTACTCGCCGAGATCTCTCTACTATGAAAGCTGCAGAATTTTTAGTTCAACCATTCGTGAGAAAATCGAGAAGAAGAGAAGATATATTTAAAAAGTATCAAATGCTATAGAAAGAAAAACTTACATATCCTTCGTTGGTGTGTATTATGAAAAAATTCTGAATAACTGTGAAAAGCTTAAAACACAATCATACCTATTTTATCATCGGCAAACCCTTGGGACATGTTTTTGTCACTCTTCTCGTCTGGATATAGTTTCTTCATGATTAGTGAACATATTTTTTTTATTTCTTTTAATTTAAGTTCAAACTGATCTTTTTCAGCAGCCTAAAATAACAAAGAGGCTAAATATAAAAATGAAAAGTCAAATATTTCTCACTTGATTTGTTTCCAACCATTTCAATATATCTTCAATAGCATCGAGCATTTTCTTCTTCTCATCACCACTTATTTTATCTCCTACTGTTTTAGCATTAATTATTTTTTTCATCTTCAAACAATAAGATTTTAATGGTTTCTTCGCAGCAATATTTGTACCCAGGATTTCATTTATTTCTTCATATATTACATCATAACACAATAGAGGTAGTTCAAGTTCGTCTTTTGACAAATATCCTGTATCATTTGTAATTGTAATTTTATTTTCATTTTTAGAACTTTTATCGAAAGCCGAAACATTTATTATATAATCTGCATCGATATTGATTGTTACTGCAATTTGTGGTATACCACGTGGAGCTGGTGAAATATCCATCAATGCAAACGTTCCTAATAAATGATTATCTCTTGTCATTGCACATTCGCCTTCATAAACTTTAATTAAAACACCTGATTGATTATCCGAATAGGTTGTAAATGTTTGGGTTTCTTTTGTTGGAATCGTTATATTACGTTTAAGTAAGACTGTCATAACACCACCAACAGTTTCGATACCCTTTAAAAGGAAAATTTACTTGACAGTTATCGATCGTTTTTTTTCTGAACTAACTTACTAATGAAAGTGGTGCCACATCGAGTAAAAGTAAATCTTTGATACATTCAGATTTATCGCCTGTTAATACAGCAGCTTGAATTGCAGCACCATATGCAACAGCTTCATCTGGATTAATTGATCTAGTTAGTTCCTTGCCATTAAACAAATCTTGTAAAAACTTTTGTACTTTTGGAATACGTGTTGAACCTCCAACAAGAACAATATCGTGAATTTGTGCTTTATCCATTTTTGCATCACGTAAAGCTTTTTCAACAGGTTCAAGTGTTGAACGGAATAAAGCAGCATTCAGTTCTTCGAAATGTGCACGAGTTATTGCTGAATAAAAATCGATGCCTTCATGTAATGAATCGAGTTCAATTCCTGCTTGTGATGCTGATGATAATGTATGCTATAGAGAAGAATTCGATTCAAAAAGATACAAATAAAAAACAGTCTTATACCTTAGCCTGTTTACACGCAATACGTAATCGTTGAATAGCACGTTTATTTTCCCGTAGATCTTTACCATGTCTATGTTTAAACTTTCGCATAAAATGTGTAACCATTCGATTGTCAAAATCTTTACCGCCCAAATGTGCATTACCTAAATTATTCTCGAAAAGTTAAAAACAAAAACAAAACTTCAACTTACCAGCTGTTGATTTAACCTCAAGAATTCCTTCTTCAATTATTATAATCGATACATCACAGGTACCACCACCCAAATCAAAAATTAGAACATTTCGTTGACCTGATACTTTTTTATCGATTACATAAGCAATAGCAGTTGCTGACGTTGAATTAACAATACGTAAAACATTAAGACCAGCAAGAACGCTAGCATCTCGTATTGCTAGACGTTGATAATAATTAAAATGCGACGGAATAGTTATAACAGCGTCGCTTACTCTTTTACCAAGATAAGTTTCAGCTATTTCTTTCATTTTCGTTAATATCATTGAAGAAATTTCTTCAAATGTAAATAATTTTACTTTTTTTTTATATTCAACTTGAAGTTTAAGTTTTCTATTTTCATTTATTATTTTAAATGGCCAATGTTTCATATCAGTCTGAACTGTTGGGTCATCATATTTGCGTCCAATAAGACGTTTAATATCAAATACTGTATTAGTTGGATTCCTGCCCACTTGATTTTTAGCTGCATCACCAATCAAAATTCCCTCATCAGTGAATGCAACATAAGATGATGTTGTACGGTTTCCTTGATCATTAGAAATGATTTCAACTCTTCCATGTTGAAATACAGCAACACGTGAGGAAACTGTACCAAAATCAATACCTATTGCGCTGCGCATTGAGTTTTCGGTGATGAGAATTCAAACCTCTTTTGTTTTAAATATCCTATAAATAAAATTCCTATTGCAATGTTTAGACATTTGTAGGACTAGGTATGAAATGCTAACTTTTCAAATGTAAAGTGGATCTTATTTCAAATAAAAACTCAATAGCTTTTGTTGTTGTTACCGAACTTCAGTTGCAAACTATTTGCATTGAAATAAAGTGTCCTATAAAAATCACAGCAAATTTGCTTTGTCTCTCTGTAAAAATGAATCAAAACAGAACATACAGAAAAAAAGCTGCATATAAATATCGATAAAAAGACGAAAAAGGTAAATGCAAGGTAAAAATAAAACATAGGAAATAAAGAGTGTGGGTGGAATGGGTATGTCTGATGTGGCTGTACGATTATTGCTGATATGGTTGTTAGGCTTCTTTCATCTACAATCACAGACCCACCTGCACCCACATCCACACGCTCAATTATTGAACGTAGTTGCTGTAGATTCTCTAAATTATTTTGTTGATTCATTCACGCGTCGATCTAGCTATAATAAGGATTGACCTTTCAAATTAATTGAATGAGAATCATTTGGTGAATTTATACACGTGTGACACACAAAATGTGTTATGTCTGATGTATCGGACTCGGCTGAAAAGGATGGTTTTGGTTCGATTACAACTATGTTATGTGATGATTCATTTTTAGTACTCGTTACATATTCTCAGATTGATTGAATTTTCTGATTGTAACATGGATACAACAAACAAAACAACATTGTATGTCTTACATATTCACGAAGTTGCACGATATATGATATATAAAATAAAACTTATTCCATTCTGTCTAGGCATGCACCAAACCCAAACTCAAACCCAAACTATTTGGGAGTTTGGGTATATGAATTGGTGTTTGAGTTTGAGTTTGGGTATTCAGTGTGGGTTTCAGTTTGCTACGTCAACTCACTGAACTACTGGACTTTAAATGCAGTGCCGTTTGTATAAAATCTCTTCTCTATATTTAGCTATTTATTCTGTATAGATATGAGCAAAACCATATTGCTATGCTTCACATTGTTAAACAATGGAATAAAGTCATTCTGAATTCCAAAAATATAGCTTGAAGAATGGATAGCTTAGATCGGTTTGTCTATGATCTGATTGATGGAAAATCGAAATCGCATTTCTCAGTTGGAGAAGGGATTGCTCGATGTTTTGTGATAGTCAAACATTAGCTTTTAAGGAGGGGAGAATGGTAGGGAACCCGAATTGAAAATCGATTTTCTTGAGACCGAAGGATGGCCTACAATGAATGAGGGTCTTCGCCTTTTCGCAACATCTTCTCCATTTTTCATAGATTTGGACTGAATATTTTTTGAGCGATGCAGCATTTGATTCTCCACGAAACTGCATACGTGAGGATGTCACAGGCAATGGCATAGCCAGGAATCTTTAAGTCATGGGCCTTTTCTCACCTAAATTATTTTGAGGAATGGGCAGCAATGAGCAATTAAAAATCAATTGGGCTACAATTTTTTAAACTTATTGACATCACGAAAACCAATGTTATTGAAAAGAAGTTTGTTATCTTAACTAAGAGGCGAGCTTCTTCGCTTTTGTGAAACACGATCTAAAAGGAGTATTGATGTGTGTAGTGGTAGAAATTTGGACCCGCCTCTGCCACGGTGGATAGAAAAGAGGACCAGAAGCAAGTCTTTTAATGATTGCAGCTAATAACTTAATATTTTGTGTACATTTAGCTGACACTTTATAACAATGATCTATGCCTATTCAACCTCCCTTACTCGTAAACTCCCAGAAAATGAAGTTTTCAACTATCGAAAACTGCAAATTAGCACAATAAAAAGTCGTTGTTCCATTATAATGTTGTTTAGCAAAAACGAGACAACAATGTTTTTTTATGGACTTGATACAATTATTAACTATGGATTATATAAATCTGCCGTAGATTCATTACTCTTCAAAAGCCTGAAGCAGGTTATCATCAATAATTTGTTTCCAACTTTCGAATCCTTGCAGAAAAAAAAATAATAAGGGTGCAAATTAAACATCATTTATAGTTTTCATTCGATATTCATCTCAATGTACGAATTACGTAAATGTAAAATCTTAAGACTTGTAAGGAAAAGTTCACTGTTTGGTTATAGTGGAGCACACATATACGTACATGTCAAACATCTTTAGAAAAAAAGTGTTTTAGTAATTTATTACTTGAAAAAATCCTATTGATAGGAAATTGTAAATAAATTATTAAACAGGCGATGCATACAATTTAGAATAACTAAAGTTTTGTATATAAGAGGGACAAACTAAAACACACTCAGTAATCTAAAATTTTTAGAAAACCATATAATCTCTAACGAGGATTGACTACACAGTTGCATTTTTTTTGATAATATCGGCCGTTTATGATTTGATTGTCCGACGTTAGTCACAAATAACAGTCAAGCTCAATTAATAGTTCTAGCTAAGTAAATGATTACATAGATTACAGTTCCTTTTTTTTAAATTTTATTTATGATTCAGATAATATTTTAAAATGTACAAATGAGGGTGGAAAAAAGTGCCCAAACTCGAGTCAACAAATATTGAAGAAAATTCGTAAAATTCAAATGTTCAGGTTTGACACAAGTCTAGTTGTGACATATAAATGAGCTCACTGATGCTATGAAGTTTGTCACCAAAACAAAACGAAATTATAGAAATACTTCGGATCATTTTATAGTATATCCCATGTAAAAATTTTTGCTAATTTAATGAAACCTTGTGATGTGAAAATTCGTTAAAAATTTAACGATTTAACGATTAAAAATGTTACAATTTTGATCATGTTAAACGTGTTAAAAGTGCGCAAAACTAACGCGTTTAAACGCGTTTTCAAATTCTAACGATCTTTTTGTGAAACACGATATAAAAGGAGTGTTGAAGTGTATAGGGTCGAAATTTGGATCCACCCCCTGATTTCCCCTACAGACCGTGACAGAGAAAATCCATACCTATCACAGACCGTGACAGAGAAATCCAGTACCCATCACAGACCGTGATAGAGGGGCTCCAAAGACTATCACAGTCCGTGACAGAGAAAATCCAGATTCCTTCATTCACAATATAAAAAGCACCATCGTGTTTCACATTTTTAATCCTGCAGGGATTGCGCTGAAAGCTTTTTCCGTTAGATTAGTAAATTTTTAATGATTTTTTGACACGTGAATTTATCCAGAAACGCGTTAAATGCGGAAGCTGATTAATATGTTCTCCCTCACAATTTTTCATACATTTTTATTTACTGCAAGTATAATGAACTTCCTTCAATAATCAATATCTTGCTTAGTTTCACTCGTCTGAAGAGAAGAATCCAGCTAATCAATTCAATATTGGATGTACTTTCTAATAAGATGCTTCGGAAAGCATTGTTATCACTATAAATATTTCGTAATAGATAGCAAAACCAACGATGAAGTACAATATATTTTTTTATTTTGTCGATATCTCGAAACTGAAACTATTTATGGCTTTACTCGCTACAATTTTGCATTCTTGTATGTATCAGAAATGTATTTCATAGTCGACCGAAATGATAAGACTATTCCTAGTTTAAAATCTAGGATATCGACAAAGTAAAAAAAATATTGTACTCTTTGATTTGTTTCACTATAAATTATGAAATATTTTTAGTGATAATAATGTTATCTTAAACATCTTATTACAAAGTGCATTCAATATTGAATCGATTAGCTGGATTTTTCTTCTCAGTCGAGTAGAACTTAACAAGATATTGATTATTGAAGAAATTTCATCATATTGGCGGTGAACAACAATGTATGAAAAATCCTGAGGAGTAATATATTTATTAGCTTGAACTGTGGAAAGACAGATTGCACGAACTAATATAATTTAATTATCCCCTTGCTCTTAACTTAGTATATCAGCTTACATATTTAACAGATATGAACCAGTCATTTTTTTCATATTAGATCTAGATTCTATAAGCGAAAAACTTAACTCAGCTAACTCAATAGCGTAAAAGAGGAATTTATATCAATTGAATCCATTCAAAAATAATGCAAACTCACCTTGATTTATCACTGATTGGCTTTCATTTGTAAATCTTGTTTCAAAAGTTTTTGTAATGTAAAAAAGGACAGTAAAAATATTTAATAATAAAAATGCATTGTAAAGGAATTATATAGTCGTAACTACGGTTTGTTATAGATGGCGCCAGTTTGGAAAATATCCTCAGATCAAATATTGATTCAAAGAATAATTAATATGAAGAAATTTAATTTCATATTCTGTAAACGTTCTAGCGCACTCTAAAAATTTGTCATTATTTACATCTGATCACAGGTAAATAATCAACTGTGCATCTATATAAGTAAAAAACCAATGATCGCTCAGACTATCCTATATTCTCGACATTAAAGTCGGTCGGTGAAAAGATGTGAATTAAATAATGAAAATTTTTGAAGCTCACTATAGCTTTTACAGAAAATCAAATAGAATATTCTCATATTGATTGTATTTGAATCTATATTTTATCCTGGAATATTTTGAGGATGTTTTCAACACTAACTCTCTCTTTAATAAACTTTGATTCATACCTGAAAAATGGCCAAGGAATAAAAAAATGAAAACAAATGGCATTTTTCATGATGAAACGACCATAATAATGCGTGTATTTCATTTTCATTGATTAAAATGAAAATTTTCACTAATGCCATTCATAAATTTACTTTTCAGTCGTTTTCATTATGATGACTTTCGTTAGAAATAGCGATGGGCAGGATCGACTTCGGAGCGGCCGCTCCACAGAGCTAGCTCCACTCCGGGAGCTGAGTCAGAGTGGAGCGACTGAGTGGATGTCTGGAGCTGGAGCGAGAAAATGTCAGACAAATATTAAGAGCTGTGCTTTTTCCTCTTCCATTTGCATCTATTACTACGGAAACTGAGTGTTATTAATGAAAACAAAAAGTGATCTGCAAAGGAGCCAGAAAAA